TTTAGGGGGCAAATGAGTTGTCAGCTTTTAAAGTATATCATTGATCGTAGGTAGGTGGAGAGAAACCTCTACCCCAGTTTGGACTCCCCACCCCAAACTTCCATGCCAGCTGGGGACATTCTCCCTGGCCCTTAGGGTCTAGCTCAAGCTCTTCCAGATTACTCCACTTCAGAATGACATTGTTCTCCTAAGAAGGAAGTTAAATGAAGGGTGGGGTTAGGGAACAAAGAATCATTGATTTAAAACTGAGAGAGATCTCTAGGGCCAAACCCCCTCCTTTGACCTATGAGAAGTTAAGTGATATTCCCAAAGTCACACAAGGGTGGAGTAGAGAGTCCAACCTAGGATCTCTGGCTCTAAATGCAGCAATTTCCCCACCGCGCTATATTGATTCCTCTTAGATGGGGTGATGGCTAAGATCTCTTCAATCCTAGAGTACATAGTTAGCCCTTAAACCCATGAAGATAATTGAGTGGCCCAGATGGTAACAAAAGGCAGCATCGGATTTTGGAAGGATAGTGTAGGAAAATGGTGGCAATGATCTCATCAGGGAAACAGGAACTGGAAAAGGAAGTCAGCTAGTTATGTATGGAGAGTGGGATGACAGACAATTATAGTCAATGTTTATAGAGCTTATTAAGGTTTTCGAAGCACTTTATAAACATCATCTCATTGATCCTTACAACAACCTGGGAAGTAGGTGCTATTATTATCCCCATTTTACAGATGAGGAAACTGAGGCAGAGGCTTGCCCAGGGTCACACAGCTAAATAAATGTCTGAGGCTAGATTTGGACTCAGGTCTTCCTGACTCCAAGTCTAGTGCTCTACCCACTGCACCACCTAGCTGTCATGTCTTATTGTATCAATTTATGGTTGTTGTTCAGCTTTTTTTCATTTGTGTCTGATCTTTGTGATCCTTTTTGAGGTTTTCTTGGCAAAGATACCATAGTGGTTTGCCATTTCCTTCTCCAGCTCATTTGACTTGCCCAAGGTCACATAGTATCTGAGGCTGGATTTGAACTCCAGTCTTCCCGACTCCAGGCCCAGCACTCTATGCACTTCACCACCTACTGGTATTCATAGGAATTCAAGAGGAAGACTGGGAATGGTGGAAGGACCCTTAGTGGAGAATGTGGTCCAGGATGAGGAGGCTTGTGGGTCATGATCTGCCTGGTTAGAGGGCTTATCCACAGGAATGAGATTCTAGAGTCATTGAAATACATGGTGTTTTTGGCTCTCCATCTAAATGGTAGTCTCTCTAGAGTCAGGGACTAGGTCTGATATTTCTTTTGCCTCCTCCATGGTGCCCTGCATGGTCTCTCATACACACAAAATAAATTAAATCAACAGATATTTTTCTTGCATGGGATATTCAGTCTTCCAGGTCTTGGGCCATCTTGTGTGATGTCTGCTTACTTTGGTGGAGTGAGAAGTACACTAAGGTGGGAGACCATAACAAAGAGTCCCCTACTAACTAGTCCTGACTAACTAGCTTTGTGACTGTGGGCAAATCATCTTGAAACTTAGGGTCTCTATTTTCTTCCATGTAAAAGGGAAAGGTTGGACAATATGACGACTAAAATCTCTGTCAGTTCTGCACAGGGGTAAACTAGGAAATGTTTAATCACAAGGCTTGGGAGAAAAAAGTGTGCACATACTTACAAGTTTAATCTGCATTAATAATACTTTCTTAAATCTAGACAATCAACAAAAATAATAAAGAAAACCCTTATTTGTAACCTTTGTCAATTTCCTAGATATAATGATCACACTGAAAATTTAACAACCTGTTCCATCAGGGTGGCTAGATCTGACCCCAGCACACCCCTGGGACTGACATTCTGTGGTCTGAGGTCCCACTTAGCCCTAATATTGTCTGTTCTAAGACCTCTTCCAGCTCTGAAATTCTCTGTTCTAAGGGTCTTCCTAGCTCTGGCATTGTAAGTTCTAGGGCTTCTCCCAGCTCTAACATTTTCTGTTCCAAGGACCCTTCCAGTTCTAACACTCTATGTCCTAAAGTCCTTCCCAGATCTGACATTTTATCTTTTATGGTCCCCTAAAGTTCTAAAATCTCAATTTCCATCCCCATGGCCCACCTATTTATTTTCTTCTGTTCTCTTTTCTGCTTCTCCCAGCATTTCTCCCTACATTTGGGTTGTTTCTCTGGGTGAGGAGTTAATTGGGCCCAGGTGCTACTCCTCCTTATGACCTTTAGTGTTACTGGCTTGGAGACTATCAGATTGGGATGGATTATGTTGGATTTTTCTCCCATATGTAATCTGAGAGTCTGGCTTGAATAGATCCTCTCCTGGGCAGAATATGTTGATGGATACATAGTCAGCAGGGGAGGGAACAGAATCACAAACCCAGGGAGCAAGATAAAAAGAAAGGGGCTTCATTACCTTATTCCCAATATGTTACAAATCAGCTTGCTATTGAATAAACTGATCGAATAAAACAACACGTAAATGCTCTTCAGTTTCCCCACATAGAATCACAGAGTGTCACAGCAGATAGAGTGCCAGGCCTGGAGTCAGGAAGAGCTGAATTCAAATCCAGCCTCAGACACTTACTAGCTGTGTGACCCTGGGCAAGTCACTTCACCCTGTTTGCCTCAGTTTCTTCATCTGTAAAATGAGCTGGAGAAGGGAATGGCAGACCACTCCAGTATCTTTGCCAGGAAACCCCCAGATGGGGTCACAAAGGACAGTACTAACAAGATCTAAGCCATACGTATACAGAATAGAGGGGAGGTAACCACAGAAGGGCAGGAGCTGGGGAGGACCGGGAAAGGATGCCCGCAGAAGACGGCATTTGGACTGAGGCATGAAGGAAGCCAGTGTGTAATTAAGAGAGTGGACAGGGCATTCCAGCACGGATGATAGCTGGACAAAGGCAAAGGCACAGAGGTGGGAGATAGAGGGTCACGCCAAGGAATGGCACAAGTAAGCTGGTGTAGGTGGATTATCACATTCCTGGAGGAGAGCTCAGTGGACTCTACTGACTCCCTACTATCTCAAATAGAAGCAGCCTTGCTGTTCCTCACATAAGGCATTCGATCTAAAGACTGCAGGCATTTCCATTGGCTGCCCCCCAAGCAGGGGATGCTTTCTCTCTTCATCTCTGCCTCCTGTCCTCCCTGGCTCCCTTCAGGTCCCAGCTGCAATCTTGCCTTCTACAGGAAGCCTTCCCTGTCCCCCTTAATTCTAGTATTTTTCTTCTGTTGATTGTCTCCAGCTGCTCCTGCCTGCAGCTTGTTTGTACATAAGTGTCTGCACGTTGTCTCCTTTAGACAGGGATTCTTGAGAGCAGAGGTTTTTGTTTGTTAATTTGTTTTGTTTTTTGGCCTTTCTTTGTGTCCGCGAAGATCAGTGCCGGGAATTTAGTAAAAACATAATAAATGCTTATTGACTGACTGAATGAGCTTGAGCAAGTCACTCAATGTCTGTCTGTCAAATAAGTTAATGATGATGATCATCATAATGATATGTGCCAGGCATTGCGCTAAGCGCTCTACAAATATTATTTCTTTTGATCCTCACAACAAGACTGTGAGATAGGTGCTATTTTTATGCCCATTTTATAGATGAGGAAACTGAGGCAGACAGAGGTTAAGTGACTCACACAGTAAATGTCTGAGGCTAGATTTGAACTCAGGTTTTCCTGACTCAATATCCATTTCACTACTTAGCTGTCTAGGTGTAATATAATATGTGTAAAGTCCTTTGAAAACCTTAAAGAGCTATGTTAATGCTGCCTTTTCTTCTTATCTTCCTCCTCTTTTTTCCTCTTCCTTCTCTTCTTTTTTCTTCTTCCTCCTTTTTTCTTCCTTCTCTTCTTCCTCCTCCTCTTTTTCTTCCTTCTCTTTTTCTTTTTCTTCCTTCTCTTCCTCTTCCTTTCTTCCTTCTTGTTAGAAAAATCTGAAACAAAAATCTACTACAGTGAGTGAGTGAAGGAAAGTCTTTATTACCAGCATCAATGTGCTTTAGTAGCACGTGGGCACTGGTTCAGTGGTAGAATCAACTTTTAAACCGTTAGTAAGATCCATACTCCACACATCAAGGCTATGAGTGGTCTGATTCATTTGAGTTACACTCTTCCTGGCCAGTCCACCGAAGTCCATGTACTGTTAACTCTGCCCACTTCATGGGTCCCATGTTCAAAAATGGCAGCTATCTCTGCCCTTGGGGTGTGTCAGTTCATATTCAATAAACTTATTAAGCAAGTTCAATGGAGAAAAGCCTTTGCCCTGTCGAAGCCCCGTCCTTGAACCTCACTGGTTAAAACTGGTTTAGCCTCTACAGCTCTTTCTTAAGGAACTAGTAGTTTATAGAAAAGTTTGAAAAGAAAGAAAAAAAAGTTTGGAGCACTTTCTGATTGGTTGAGGGACAAGATCTTGAAATTTCTTATCCTGCTGTGGAAGTCTAACTTCCTAAAATCTTTCTTACACTTCTCTTCCTTCTCTTCTTCCTCCCCTTCTTCCTTCTCTTTTCCTTTCTTCCTTCTCCTCTTCTTCCTCCTCTTCTTCTCCTTCCTCCTCCTCTTTTCCTTCCTTCTCTTCCTCTTCCTTTCTTCCTCCTTTTTCTTCCTTCTTTCTTCCCTTCTTCCTTTTTTCCTTCCTTCTCCTTTTCTTCCTCCTTTTCCTCTTCCTCTTCCTCCCCTTCTTCTTCCTCTTTTTCTTCCTTCTCCTCTTTTTGTTACATTGTCGTTAACTCAAATGAGGGTTTCAGTCTAGGCCCCTCTGAGCTCCCAGGTCTCTCTTAGGTGCCTGGACCTGCTCTCATCCCACCAGGCAGGATTTGCTCCATTGGCTCCATTCTGCAATTAGGCGCCCTCTACTGGTCGTGCCTCCTCCCCACACCCTTGGTCCGTTGCTTCAGCGGCATTACGCCTGCGCAGACGCGGGCTCTTCTGGTTAACTTCTCCGTCCCACCCCTCTGGCCCGGGGGGCGTGGCTTGCTAGTTTCCGTCACACCCGCTTCCGGTTTGGCTCGGCGTGCCACGTGACTCCGTTTGGGGCGGAGCAAGATGGCGGCGCCCAGGAAAGCAGCGTGAAAGCGTTGCCGGGGGAGCCCCGTCCGGACCAGAATCGCTTCAGTTGCCGAAGTGCGCAGCCTGTCGCCATGTCGCGACTTATCGTCAAGAACCTGCCGAGCGGGGTGAGCACAACTCCTGGGGTTTCCTTAGGGGATGTGGGAGGATTCGGGGTGCGGGGAGAGGCTCCCTCTTGTACCCTGCGTTCATTCCGGCCGTGGTAGCAGCGCCGTCCGCCTCCATCCGGGGCTTCTCAGGCCCAGCGCTGGACCAGTAGATCTGGGTGCTAAGCCCACCTTTGTCGCTGACTAGCTGGACAAGCCTCTTCCAGCTAGGATCTAGGCACTTAACCTCTTTCGGCCTCAGTTTCCTTCTCTGTAAAATGAGGGGAGGGGGTTGAGCAAGGTGGCCTCAGAGGTCCCTTCCAACTCCAAAGACTCCTTTTTATGAGCCTCAGTTTCCTCATCTGTAAACCAGGGATGACAATATACTGCCAACTTCGCCGTCGCCATGGTTTGTGGCCTGGAAGTGACCCTGGGTACATAGTAGGCACTTAATACATGCTTGATGATTAGTCAATTACCCAGCTTCTCCTAGCTAGTAAATAGCACATTCCACGTTGTCTTAATTCCAGATCCAGTGCTCCTGGTGTCCACTGCTTTCTGCCTTTTGCCTGTAGTGTAGACCATTGTAGTCGATTTGGCAAGAGTCTCACAGTGATACTTCCTTTGGCTGTGATTGTCTTCTAAGTCTGTTTATAATCTGGTAGAGGGAGGGCCCCCACTGCTCGTGTCTGTTCCCCTAAAGAATATAAGCTCCTTGAGGTCAGGGACTGTTTTCGTTTCTGTCTTTCTGTCCCGCAACATAGCATAGTAGGCTATACAGAATAAGTGCTCACTGATTGGTTGTTACAAAATTACTGATCTTGGAAATGAAGTAGGGTTAGGGTATGATAGAATTGTAAGTTATTGTTACTTCCTCTCTCCCAGCCAAAGGACTGTCTGCATCGGAGATCACAGAATCCAGAGCTAGGAGAAACTGTAGGAATCATTTGATGCGGTGCTCCCATTTTTATGCAGGGGGAAACTCCTGAGGCTGATTTCACTGGTTAGTCTGCTCCCATCAGTGTAGGGTGCAGCCCTGGTTGTCAGGAGGCTTGACTGGGAATTTCAGGCCCAGTACTTTGGTTCGAATCTCCATCCCAGCCCAGTGACTGGGCTTTCATTCAGGACAATGGTCCTCAATGCTCCTAACCTATTGTACCATCTCTGGCATAGGAAAGTGCCTTCTGTACAGACGACAGGGGAAGAAGGACAGGGAGAGGGAGGATGAATTGCATAGTGACGGAAATGCTTTTTATGCCTTTGAGGAGACATGAAGGGTGGCTCCTTTGACGGAATGATGGTGCTTCATTCCTGGTGCCTCAAAGGGTTCTTTTTCTCTCATTTTGAGTGGTCTCTGGTGAGATGAAAACTTCTTAGTTTAGTCTAAACCTTGGTCACCTCAGAGCACATTTCAATGATAACTTAAAACAGGAAAACTGATTTGGGCATTTCACAGAAGTGAAGTGCACTGTGTCATCTAAATAATCTGAGCGTGGGCCAGGGTCGGGAGAGTTGGCCTCCCATGGACACATTTTGAAGTTACTGTACTTTCTGTCTAGCAGTCCAGCCTTCCCTAGATCTTCACATTTTCAGATCTTTCAGCTCTGGCTTCTGCTAGAGTTGTGAGTGACACTCCAGCCTTCTGTTACAGGACCTACCTCCTGCCTGCAAACCCTAACAAGAGCTCTCAGCTTTCTGAACGTCTTGGGGCGAGGATGGTTCATAAGATCCTAGATCTAGACCCGGCAGGGACCTTAGAGGTCATCTGGTCCAGTCCCTCACTATACAAATGGGGAAACTGACCCAGCCTAGGCCATGGTGTTATGGGTACTAAGTGGCGGAGCCAGGATTCGAATGTAGGTCCCAAGACTCTAAAGTCAGGGTTGTTTCTACTGTACCATTCCCTGTGTTAGGTAGCCTAGGGATCATGTAAGCCAGGAGTTCTATGAATTTAGTTTTTAAAAATATTTTGGTAACCATATTTCAATAGAACTGGTTTCCTTTGTAATTGTGTGTCTTATTTTATGCATTTGGAAACATTCCAAGGAGGGGTCCATAGGTTTCACCAGTTTGTCAAAGAGCCCAGGACACAAAAAAGTTGTGAATCCCTGGGTTAGATCAACCTCTTCATTTTACAGAGGAGGAAGCTGAGACCCAGGGAAGGTGATTGATTGCCCATGGCCATGCACTGCTCCTTAGTGGCAGAGCTGAAACTTGGGTAGAAGGGCAAGGCCCTGTACTTGAAGACTGTAAGAAACATCTCTCTCCTCCTCAGCCAGAACTTGGTCCAGTGCTCGAAGTTGGAAGATCTGGGCTAATTGCTGGCTGCGATACTTAGCATCTGTGTGTCCTTGGGGGGGAAAAAATCACAACCTTCTCTGTAGCTTCAGCTTCTTCATCTTCAAGCTGGAGACCATAATGCTTGTCCATCTTTCCTTCCAGGAAGATTTGTAAGCTCTTAAGACGCTGCAGTGGTGGGTCAGGTGTAGTTACTGGGAAGAGTTGACATGTCTGTCTGGATTTGGGAATGTCAGGGGGCTGTGGTGAGGAATGTTGCTCACCCATGGGCTCATTAAGAACACTGAGAAGGCTTTCATGTGGCCATTTTCACTTGTGCTTACAAAGGAGATAGCGTGGTCATAAAGGGCGCCTGTGACCTTCCTGATGCTGAGTCAGAGGAAAAACAATTCTGTCTCACAAATAAGAAATACTCAACATTGGCCTTGGATTTGGGGGAAAAGATTCGCTTTGGTGAATCCATTCCACTCCACTCAAGCTCTAACACCAACCACATTCCCTTGAGGTCTTGCCTCCTTTCCACACTTGGGTGGAATCTTACCATTTCCTCCATTGACCAGTTTTGTGGGGCAAGTAGGTGGTACCACAGTGGATAGAGTGCTGGGCGTGGAGTTAGGAAGCTCCCAGTTCAAATATGACCTGGTTACTTACTAGCAAGGTGACCCTGTGCAAGTCTTAACCCCTATTTGCCATCTATAAAATCTTTAAAATGGGGATGATAATAATAGCACCCACCTCCCAGGGTTGTTATGAGGATCAAATAGTTATTGTAAAGCACTCAAACACTGGCACATAGTAAGGTGATATAAATGTTAGCTGTTATTTAATGGGGCATGAATTTTTTAATATATTTTAAATAAAAACCACATCACTGTAGCTCCTGTTTCTTGCAACAGCCCTGTGGGGTAGGGCATTCAGGTATCACCATTTCTACATCACAGCTGAGAAAATTGAGTCTCAGGAGAAAAGACTAGCCCACAATCCCACAGCAAGTAAGTGTTAGACCCATTACTCAAAGCCGTCCAGCCCAACAAGCATTTATTAAGCACCAACTGCATACACAGGACTGGAGATGTAAAAGCAAAGTGAAAAATGCTCCGTGTCCTCAAAGAGATCACATTCTCCTGGGGCATTACAGCTTGTCAACAGACAATGATTATTAGATCTGTTGTGTTCATTCATATCAGTCACGTCCCACTCTTTGTGACCCCGTTTGGGGTGTTCTGCCAGAGCTACTGGAGTAGTTTGCCATTTCCTTCTCCAGCTCATTTTACAGATGAGGAAACTGAGGCAAACAGGGTAAAATGACTTGCCCAGATTATTAGATCTAATGATTATGAGCTCTTTGAGGGCAGAGAGTGTTACTTACTTTTCTTCCTATCCCCATTGCTTAACCCTTAATAAATGTTGATTGAGTGATTGACTGTTAGCAAATATGTGCATAATGAGCTGAGAAGAAAGAGGGCGCAGGTAACTCCTAGAATGACCAGGAAGGGCTTCCTGACAGAGGTCAGGGCTAGAAGGGGCTTAAGAATCCATCAAGTCCAGTCCTTCCATTTTGCAAATGAGGAAACTGAGTCCCAGGGAAGGTCACATCGTCAGACATGAGATTTTAACTTAGACTCACCGACTCCACAGCCAAGTGGTCTTTCAGCTGTACTATACTTCCTACCAGCCTTCCTTGGGAGCTGAGACTTGAGGGACACTTGGGATTCTAGGAAGTGGGGGTGAGGAAAGAGTGTATTCCAGGCACAAAGGACAGATTTTTGTTGTTGTTGAGTTATTTCAATTGTGTCTGACTCTCCGTGATCCCATTTGGGGTTTTCTTGGCAGAGATACTGGAGTGGTTTGCCATTTCCTTCTCCAGCCCATTTTAGAGATGAGGAAACTGAGGCAAACAGGATGAAGTGACTTGCCTAGGGTTAGCTAGCCTGTGCAAAAAACACAGAGGTTAAAGATGGAGTGCTGAGTGCTAGAACAGCAAGTTAGCCAGGATCATAGTGTGAAGCAGAATCATGTGAGGTACACCTGGAAAGATAAGACTGTAGCCAAATGGTGGAGGCTTTTAAATGCCTATAGCAGGAGTTTGTTTTGTGTCCTAGGAGAAAGAGGGAGCCATTCAGAACCTCTTGAGCTTGGGAGTGATGTGTTCACATGCGCTTTCAGAAGATTATTTTGGCCTTTGTGTGGTGAATGGATCAGAAAGGAGAGAGACTGGAAGCTGAGATTCCAACTAGGAGGTTGTTACAATAATTCAAGGAAGAGGTGGTTAGGGCTGGAGGAATGGTGGTCTATGTGCAGGAGAGAAATAGACAATTAGGAGTTGCATTGGAGAGCAAGTGTGAACAAGCCCAGCTGGTGAGCTAGCAGGGGCTGAAGGAGTGAAAACGGGCATGTCAGGCTTTAAGGTTGGGAGCCAGGAGACTGGAAGACCAGGGGTGTCCTCACCAGAAACAGGGACGTTGGAAGGAATGGCAAGCATTGGGGGGGGAAGTTAATGCGTTCCCTTTGGGGCATGTCTGATGAGTCTGTTATGAGACATGGAAGATGGCCGAAAAGAGATAGCATGCTGGACTGGAGCTTGTGGGAGAGTCTGAGCAAAGCCATGGGATGTGTGTGCATGTATACATATGTATATTTATAAACATGAACATATATGTATATGCACATACATGTATACCTGAAAAACATCTGTATAGAAATAATCATTGAACCTATGGGAACAGGTGAGGTCATCCAGAAAGAGCATTATGAAGGGAAGAGAAGAGAGATTTGGGGGCCACTGCAATTATGGGGCATAATAAGGGTGAAGATTTAGCCGTGGAGACTGAGGAGGAGATGTAAGATAGTTTGGGAAAGAAGCAGGAGAGATCATTGTTAGAAGAGTAGAGGACAGGGGAAGCTAGGTGGTGCAATGGATAGAGCACTGGCCCTGGAGTTAGGAGGACCTGAGTTCAAATGTGGCCTTAGACACTAGCTGTGTGACTCTGGGCAAGTTATTTAACCCCAATTGCCTCACCAAAAAAAAAAAAAGTGGAGGAGGGAGGGGGTGGTCTCATGCCCTAAAGATGTCATGAAGGATGAGCACTGAAAATAGGTCCTAGATCGGGCAATTAGGAGATTAGGTGACCTGGGGAGGGCATTTTCACTTGAATGATGAGGTCAAAAGCCAGGTCACAAAGGGTAGGGCACTGAATGGGAAGTGACGAAGAGGAATCAATGAAGGGTTTTCCCTGGGAATTTGTCTGTGAAAAGGAGGAAAGAGGTAGAGAAAAGCTTCTGGGCATCCCAGGTTCCAGTGAAGGTTAAGGAAGGCTGGGCTTGGGCAGCAGGAAAGGGGGAGCCAGGTCAAGAGACATTGAGGTTCAGAGAGAGGGAAAAGTGAAGATCAAAGGTACAAGCAAGAGGATTGTTGCGGGCAAGGAGAGACTTGGCTCCCTCTTCCTTGGAGTCTGAAGCAAAGGAAGAGGTGATGGAGGATGGTGTTGAGGGATTCTGACTTGTTGGGAAAGGGGGAGGGGAAGCTCCTGGCTGGTCACCTCTATTCTCTCTCTCTCTCTTTTTTTAGGCAGTTGGGGTTAAGTGACTTGCCCAGGGTCACACAGCTAGTAAGTGTCAAGTGTTTGATCTGAGGCCAGATTTGAACTCAGGTCCTCCTGACTTCAGGGTTGGTGCTCTGACCACTGCTCCACCTAGCTGCCCCTCAATTTTCTCTTTAAAGTAGGAAATGTCCCCTGCTTTGAGCAGGAATGGGAAGGCTTTGGGAAGGTGGGGGAGGCTTGAGGAGAGAAGAGAAGGTTTGGTACAGGCACTGTGATGAGCGTCATGGTCAATTCAGGAATAATAAAAGGATTGCCTGGCAGTGGTGAGAGCCAGTAGAAAAAGACACGGTGTAAATGTGTAGTGGACACAGTTGACATGGATGGTAGAATGGCTTCTTCTGTTGGTGTTCGGTGGCATGTGAACAAGCACAGGGAAGGCCCATGGTTGGGGTGACCCAGGCCTGTGGTCTGTCAAGGCCCAGGTGGCCATAGGGCCAGGTGGGGAGGGGGATTTGGGAGTGGAGGATAGTAGATGGTTGATTGGCTCACTATCCAGTTCAGATTTAGAAGGGAGGAAAAGGAGACCAGAGGAGGAATGAGACAGCTGACTGGGCTGGGTAATGAGCCTGGGATTACGAGGAATGAGGCAGTGGCCAAGATGGAAGGGTGAAAGGTCATGGTCCAAAAGAGGAGTTTCAGATTTCTGCTCATGCAGGTAGAATGGTTATGGATCAAGGGTAGCACTCTTGTTGTGTTTGTGGCTCAAGTCAGGTAAAGGTGCAGGTCACTGGGGTCGAGAAGATTGCTGAAATGGGAGGCCCATGTAATTGCAGGGCCACCAATGTATATCAGTGTCCCTGAGTCAGAGGGGTGTATGTTGGGGTGAAGAGGAAGGCTCTGAGCCAGGTTAAAGTCCTTGAGAACGAAGGGAGAGTGACCTGAGAACAGGGAGAGAAGAGAGGATTTGGAAGTGGCAGCCAAGAGCCTGAGGTGTGCCTACTTTTCCTCCTGCAGTGGTGTGTCTGGGTGTGGGAGGGAAGGATGACCCGGGACTGGAGAGTGGCCAAGGGTGGCTGAGAGGCTTCTGCAGGAAAGGAGTAAGCGGGAAGAGGTCAGCCCCTGTCTTGTGGTTCCAGAGCCAGTGCCTCCCCGTTAGACGGCAGGACAGTTTAGGTCCTCTTCCCATCCTCCACCCTTTTCCTTGTCGTAGGTCCTTACCTTCTCTCGAGGAACAATGCAGTGACCAGGTCTTCCTCACTGTGGTAGTGTGGCCCAATGGGTAGAGTGTCAGACTTGAAGTGAGGAAGCCTGGGCTCTAATCTCACTTCCTGATGCTTACTAGCTGCAGGACTATGGGCAGGTGACTTAACCCCTCCGAGCCTCAGTTTCCTCATCTGTAAAATGAGACTCCTGTCTCACTCACAGGGTTGTCATAGATCTCAGAGGAGTCCTTGGATGGAAAGCTTTTTGTGAACCGTAAACTGCTGCATCCATGTCAGCCTTTGTCTCTTCTGCTCCCTCAGCTGAAGGAAGAGCGATTCCGGCAGCTTTTCGCAGCCTTTGGCAGCCTGACTGACTGCAGCCTCAAATTCACCAAGGATGGCAAGTTCCGCAAGTTTGGCTTCGTCGGTTTCAAGTCTGAGGAGGAGGCACAGAGGGCCCTGGACCACTTCCACAGGAGTTTCATCGACACTTCTCGGGTCACGGTGAGTTGGCCCCAGCTGCACGCGAGGCTCCTCAGGCATCCCCTGACCTGTTTGCCATCTACTCAGCTGATTCCCCATCAGTCACTCCAGGACCACCAGGACTTGGGGAAGTGGGCTTGGAGACCCTCTTTCAGGTGATTCCCATGTTGTTCACCTGAATGGCTGTGTCTTAGGCAGATTCCTTTATTTGGGAAACATTTATTTAGCCCCTCCTGTGTGCAGAGCTCACGGGGAAGGTACAGAGTTTACCCTGCCCTCATGAAGCTTCCTGGAAGTCTCCAATCTCAGATCATATTTTGTTCCATCCTTTCCTCTCGCTTCTGCCCCCCTGTTGTTTTCCCGGCTTTGTCTCAGTGTCCTCCTCAGGCTGCCATTGTGGGGAATCCTGGCTAGCCACCTCTTCCGTGGAGGGATGGACTTTAAAGATCCCCTTTGTTTCCTTCTCTGTCCCTTAGGTGGAGTTCTGCAAGTCATTTGGAGACCCATCTAAGCCCCGAGCCTGGAGCAAACACTCCCAGAAAGCCACGCAGCCAGGGAAACCTGAAGAAAGCCCAGTGGCCTCAGAAACTCAGAAGGTAAGGAGTGACTTCCTCCTCCCTGACGTGTGCTTAGAGTTCTCAGCGCAGGCCCAGCCAGGGCATCCTGGGAACACAGCCAGGGTGATGGAGGGGCTTGAGACCATGCTACATGGAAATCAGCTGAAGCAGCTGGGGAGGTTTAGTCTGGGAAGAAAAATCTTGAGGGGAAAGAAGAACTGTTAGCTTTGTTCTCTCGGGCCCCAGAAGGCAGAAGTAGGAGCAGTGTGTAGAAGGGGAAGCACATTGACCGTGGGAGCTGTCCTGGAGTGGCCCCCACCTGGAGGTCTCCATATAGAGGCCAGATGACCCTGTGGGTGTCTTACAGGGGGACTCTTTCAAACATGGCTTAGAGTAGACTGTCACTGAGGTCTGTCTCAGCTTTGGAATTTGGTGTTTCTGTGACTTCATGTTGCTTAGCTAGAAACCTCAGGAGGGCCCTAGGGCCCAGATCAACAGCTGCCAGGCAGAAGGTGAAATGACTGGGGATAGAAGGCAGAATTCTCTGCACTTGGGATGTTAGCCCAGTGTGAGCAGACATAGGAATATTACCACTGCCAGGCAGACTGGCCCCCACGTAAGAGAAGGGTGTGTTGGGAAGAGGACCCAGATAGGTCTCAGTACCACTGCTTCAGTGGCATTTAGGAATGGGAAGGTCCCAGAACAGGGTAGTGTATACCAGCACCATCCACCAGACATGGGTTGGGTAAGCATTGACCATTCCTTCTATTTTTAGGACAAAAAGAGAAAAAAGGCAACAGGAGAACTGGAAAAGGTGAGTGTGGGAAAGGCAACAGAAGGGTGGGCATGTGTATGAAAGGGGGGGAGGTGAAGGACTATGGTAAGATAGGAAGCTGGTTCACGGGAGCCACAGAGCTGAGCACGGTGAGCTTCCTGGCGCCTCCCTTTTGTGGTCCAGGGGTAGAGTCATAGCTTCCTTAATGGCCAGTTAAATGACCTTCCTAGCCTTGGGTAGATGGACGTCAGTCCCCCTGAGTCACTCACCCATCTGTCTCCTCCATCCTAACAGCTGAAGAAAGATGTTGAGTTTCAGGAATTCCTGATGGTTCATCAGAAGCGAACACAGGTGGCCACTTGGGCAAATGATACCGTGGGAGTGGAACCAAAGAAAGGGAAGGCCAAGAGGGATGATGACTACCTGAACTTTGATTCTGACTCGGGACAAGAGAGTGAAGAAGAAATAGATGATGAAGACTCTGAAAGTAAGCAAGTGTGCATGCGTGTGTGTGTGTGTGTGTGTGTGTGTTTTTCTTTACATCCCTGCTGATGCTATAGAACACTCATCATCTCATCAGAAAGGCCCAGTGGCCTGGGAACCGAGGAAAGCCCCTCGGGAGCCCCCAGATCCTGCCTGGCATCATGGCATGGTTTGGTTAGGTTGTTCAGAGAAGTAAGGGAAGGCAGTTTCTTATTCTTGGTGGCTGCTGGACCCCACTGGTTCCTGAGGACTAGTTGTCTGAAAGGTTTGGAAGGTCCTTGATGCCAAGCAGCTGGTAGAGCTCCATCCGGGGCAGCCTGGCCCAGTGGAGCCAGGAGCCCTGGGGTGCAGGTTAAGCTCAGTCGAGGCAGCCAGGCAACCACCGCCCATCCCAGTGCCCCCATTCAGAAAGTGAAAGTCTTTTTTTTTTTTTTGGTTAGGCAGTGGGGTTAAGTGACTTGCCCAAGGTCACACAGCTAGTAAGTGTTATCTGTCTGAGGCTGGATTTGAACTCAGGTCCTCCTGACTTCAGGGCCAATACTCTATCCACTGTGCCACCTAGCTGCCCCAAGAAAATGAAAAACTTGTATTACATAAGTACTAAGGCTCCTCCCAGCCCTGACATCTCTTGTTCTAACGCTCCTCTCAGCCCTGACATCCCCTGTTCTAAGGGCCCTCCCAGCTCTCACCTTCTCAGTTCTAATGAACTCATTTTCCAGTCCTGACACAGCCTCTATTTTAAGTGTTCTCGGGTCCCTTTGAGCCCTGGGATTCTGCACTTCCCAGCCTTGCTTTCTCTCCTTAGTGGCCTCCAGTGGCATCCGTAGTACAAGTCAGGACCAGAGATCCTGCAGCTCCTGAGGGCCACAGGCAGGATCTGCACCCTGCTCTTCCAGCTGTGACATCCATGGCTCTTCACATTGGACCCAGGTGGAGGCTGACCCCAGGAGAAGAGAGCCCTTTATGGCTGCTCGCTTTGTCCCCCGGAGCACCTCTGACTCTTTCTGCTCAGGGAGCAGAGTCTGACACACTTTGACAGACTCGTGGAGGTGGTGGTAGAACATCCATAGGCTTGTAGATTTAGGTCTGGAAGGGCCCTTTGAGGTCATCATGTCTGACTCTCTCATTTTATGATGGAGATGATAGAGCCCAGAGAGGTTTAATTATGTGCCCAGAGTCACACAGCTAGTAATTGTCATAGGCAGGATTTGAACTCAGGTCTTCCGACCCTAACTCTGTAACACTCTTCACCGCACCTCAGTCCCTCTCTCTCTCTCTAACATGGGTTTCCTTGATTCTTTCAGCAGAGGAAAGCCCTGAGGTGAAAGCAGCAGAGCTGAAGGAGCTTTCTGACATGGACTACTTGAAATCTAAGGTGGTGAGAGCGGATTCCTCAGAGGAGGAGGAAAGTGAAGATGAGGCAATGGCATGTGAAGAGGAAGGCAGTGATGAAGAGGAGGAGCAGCTGACCCCGGGCACCAGAGGCTCTGAGAGCCTCAGGGAGAAGAGAGCCGGCCCAGGAGAAGGGGATGCCGTGCCTGGGGGCAAGAGACCCCCAGCAGCCAAGGGAGAGGTGCGAGAGCCTTAACGGGGATGTTTGCTCCCCTTCGGGTGCAGCCGAGTGAGGAGAGGTCCTCAGAAATCGTCGGGGGTTGTTTTTATTTTAGAGAGAGCTTAGAGGTCAGAAAAACTGAGGCCTCTAAGAGGGACAGGCAGGAGCGGGTTTTGAACCCAGGTGCTCCAAGGCTTTGATCCCTCCCCCCCAGCTCAGAAGCCTCTTAAGGCCCCCTCCCCCCCCAAGGGATAAACAGCCTCTGACCCCTTTTGGTCCCCTGTGGCCCAAGTCCACCCAGCATACCCACTGCAGGCAAGTGTCTCCTCCAGGGGCTCCCAGCCTCCTCTGTAGCCCAGTGTCATTTAGCCCTTACGTCTCCAGCCCCCACTGCTTCCTCCTTTTCCTTTCCTTCCTTCTGTTCCCTCCCCTGGTCCCTCTTCTCACCCTTCCCACCTTCCATTCCTTGTCTTCCTTCCTTCTTTCCATTCTCTCCCTTTTGCCCCTGCCTCACAGGCTGTTCTTTGCTCTCTGTCCCATCTCCTTGTCTGCAGGGTCCATAATAAATCACCAGATGGCCCTTTTCTGAAACCTGACCCGGTCCCTAAGTTGGGAGTGGGAATAGAGACGTCACTGTAGGATGAGGAGGAGACCCCCTCTGCAGGTGGGCTCCAGCCTCCTGGCCCTCCATAGCCTCGACCTGCCCCAGCCTGACCTTGCCCATTGTGGCAGCCAGCTTACACTTCTCTGGTGGGATTCATCTGGTCCTCAGACTCACTCTCAGGGTGTTCATCTTATATTCTTCCCCCTTGTCCTCTTTTGTGGCCATTCAGGTGACGAAGCCAGCCACCCAATCCGAGCCCACCACTGCTTACACAGTGAAGCTGCGTGGAGCACCATTTAATGTCACTGAGGTGAGTGTTGTCTTGAGTCGTGGCAGAAATGCTTTTGGGGCCTCCCTAACGACCCTTGCCAGGGGCCAGGCAAATTTGGGAAAGGTGGTTGGTGAGCCCGAGGTGTGGGTGGAGGGCTCAGGACTTGGGGAGTACGCTCCATTGGAGGCCTCTGATGCATCTTCATGGCGCAGGGGTGATCCTGGGCTCTTGGACGCTCTGCCAGGGGATGGCAAGCTGAGGCAGGCCATACCGATCCGGAAAGGCTTCAAATACAGTGCCAGGGACAGACTCCCGTTTGCCGTCCTAGGGCTAAGCATCACCAGGCTGCGGTCCAGTAGGGAATGAGCTCTTTGGCCAAGGTGACCTGGGCATTATCAGTTAGTGATTTGGCATCTAGGCATGTAGAACCAGGGAACCAAGACAGCTCCCCAAACTTAGAAGAGTTCCCATTTCATTCACTTATTTTGAAATCACAGTTTGTAAAAGGCTAAACCTTCCTCCAGGAGATCCGTGAAAGACACAGGAAGGGCACAAAACTTCTGTCTTCTGACCATTTGGAAGCCCGGTCCTGTTGCCAGCTGTTAGCTGGTGAGTCTTTCCATGGGCGTCCTGGCAGCAAAGTGCCCCTTGTCACCAGTGGAACGTACGAGTTTTCATCAGATCTGATTTCAGAAGCCTGCCCCGTAGATCGGCACAGTTTCAGCTTGCCTTCATTCCTGAAACGAGTTGATCCCAAATTTTTTTTTCCATCTTTTTTTCCTTCTCTTTCCAGCAAAATGTTAGAGAATTTCTGGTGCCCCTCAAGCCTGTGGCCATCCGCATTGTGAGAAACGCTCACGGGAACAAGACAGGTAATAAGTAGGAGGCTTTGGAATGTAGCCAGGAGCCAGAGGCTGAACATGAAACAGTGAATGAGGAAATAGGAAAAAATAAAACAAAAGCCAACCCATTATCTACTCTCCTATCTTTGGGTAAATCATTCAGGAGAGGAATTAGCCCCCCCCCCTTGTCTTTCCTCATCTACCCCAGACTCCCCTGAGCACAGCTGTGTACCCACATTGTCATTGGTCTGAGGACCCATACCAGACTGGTGAGGAAACTCCCCCTACCAATGCAGGCTGGCACCTTCTCTAGAGCCTGTGATCTTGGGGAGCTGAGTGAGTACTGAGAAATGGACTGCTTTGTCCAGAGTCACCCAGCTAGGATGTGTGGGGGTGTCAGGGGTGCTTTTGGAACCCGGTCCTCCCAGCCACCTTTTGTAAGCATTCTTGTCCCCATTGTCAGATGAGGAAACTGAGGCTCAGGAAGGGAGGGCGCTTACCGAAGGTCGCTCTTCACGGAAGTGGCAGAGTTTGGGAGCTGAGCCCAGATCCCCTGACCCCAAGCCCGGGGCTTTGTGTCTCGTACTCCAGATGGAGAGGTGTTGCCGTACTAGTCTCAGAAACTGCCGGAGACAAGCCCTTGAGCAGCCCTGGAGTTGGAACCTTCTCTGTCCTCGGCTTCCTCCCAGCCTGGACACTTCCTTTGGGGAGGAGAGGGTGGGGGCATTTATAAACCCACCATCTGATATCTGCATGGTCACCATGGGCACAGGAGAGGAATCAGTCTTGTTCTGTGCTCTCATAGAGGGCAGGGCCCGGGCTCACGGGGGAGTACGTAGAAAAGGGAGCTCCACGCTCAGTGTCTGTCCCTGAACAATCTCAGTGAACTCTGGGCTCTGGGCCAGGGAATTAGAAAGCTGGCAGGGTGATTGTCAGAGCTGTGTCAGTCTTGCTACTTGTGTGAGAGGGTGTGCATGCGTGTGCATGCGTGTATATGTTTGTATGTCTCTGTGTGTGCTATGCGCATGTGTGTGTGTGTGTGTGTGTGGTATGTGGCTTGTATTTATACGTGTGTGTAGTATATGTAGCGTGTACACATTGGTATATGTATGTGTGCACATGTGGGGTGCACATGTGTGTAGGTATGTATAGTGTTGTGTGTGTTGTTGGGTCTGTATGTGGTATGTGTACTCGTATGTGTGGTGAGTATGCATTGTGTGGTTTGTATTGTGAGTGTGTGCCTGTAGGGGTGTGTACGTGCGTGTGTACGTATACACATATGCACGCCTGGGCTTTCCCCACCGTCCCTGAAGCCGAGAACGGAGCTCACGCGTTCCTTTGTTCCTGTCAGGTTACGTCTTTGTGGATTTCAGCAGTGAAGGGGACATGGAGAAAGCCCTACAGCACAACAGGGAATACATGGGTAAGGAGGGGTCTGGGGCTCTGCTCTCCGGGGATTCCGTCTGCTGTTGGCTGCCTGCGTGACCTCACACCAGGGCCTTCACCCGCCTGGCCCTGGCTTTCTTCATCTGTAAATGGCAGGGGTTAAGATTAGGCAGTCACCGTGACCCCAGCCATCTCCATGCTAGGGTTCTTTGGCTCCCGAGGGGACTTGCCAGGCCTCGTGCTCAGGCTCCTTGGACCTCTCCCACAGAGGGTCTGTAGCCCAGGGATGACGACGTCTCCTAAGCAGACAGCATGACTCCCAACTTTAGCACATGGGAGATTTGTTGAACATCTGCTGTGAGATAGGTGCCTTAGGAGGGAGAGCAAAAGAGACTGTGTGGCACGTCGGAGACAGCGCCGTGTTAGGAGCCAGGAGGAGCTGGGTTTGAATCCTGTCCTGTGCAAGTACGACCAGCGAGCCTGGGCAGGCCACTTGAGTACTCTGTTGGTTTTCACATCTGTAAAACAAGGGGTTGGACTTGACAGCCCAGCTTGAAGGCGTGTTCTCGTGGCTCCTGCCCTTGGGTTTAAGAACCTTAGACTCTCAGAGCGGAGAGGAACCTTCAGCCCCCAATGCTCTGATCTCTGAATCAGCAAGAATTTGGCAGGCACTTGTATAAGTGACCCGGGGGATCTGCTAAGACAAAGCAAAGCAGACCCTGCCTGCAAAGCGTAGATATTCTCTTGGAGGATCCAGCGTTGTCTGTAGTGAGATACCAGAAATGCATGGCAGGTGGTTCGGGGAGCAGAGGGTACTGATTGATGGGGAGTCCAGAAGGCTTAATGACAAAGCTGGCGCTTGAGCTGAGTCTGGAAGGAAACCAGAGCTGCTCAGAGGTGGAGGGGGCGGGGATGGAGGGCCTTCCAGGCGTGGGGGACTGGCAGGGTATAGGTGTGGAGACAAGAAATGGAATATTGTCTGAGGATAGCAAGCAGGCCAGTATGGCTGAATGCAGAGGGGGCAGAAGGAGACTCAGGTGTCAGACAGAGGGGTTCGTATTTGATCCTAGAGACAGACAGCAAAGTGCTGCTGCGGCTTACTGATGGATGGATGGATGGATGAACGGATGAACGAAGAGGCGTTTATTAAGTGCTCTCGGGGTGCCAGGCTCTGTGCAAAAAGAGAACTAAAGAGGCCCTGCTTTCTAGGCACTCCATTATAATTGGGCAGGTTGGTTGGGAATCCATCGGGATAGTCTAGGTGGGAAGCTATGAGGCGTTGGCCTCAGGTGGTCTTCATGTGAGAGGAGAGAAGGGGTCACAAATGAGACAGTTTGTAAAGAGGAAAGCACAGGATTGGGCAGCTGACGGATGGGGAGGGGGCAAGTATGCCCAGGTCGTTAAGCCAGGTGAGTTGTCCACTTGGCAGTGCGAGACCCTACTTAGAGGGAAAATAATCATGAATTCTTTTTGGATATGTTGAGTTCGAGATGCCTGTGGGACCAGAGCTCAGGAGGGAGATCAGGTCCAGGTATTTAGACAAACGAGTCATCTGAGTAGAATGGCAGTGAAACCCGTGGGGACTAATGACATCAGAGAGTAGAGGGAAGAGGGGCCAGGGAGAAGCCTGTGCTTGTGGCTAAAATGCATGATGTGGACAAGGAATGAACAAAGGAAGCTGAGAAGTGGTTATATAGGAGGAGATGCAGGAGACAGCACAGTCAGAGTTGGAATGGACCTCAGAACAGGGAATGTCAGGGCTGGGAGGGGCCTTAGAACAGGAGATGTTAGAGCTGGGAGGGGCCTTGGAACGGGGAATGTCAGGGCTGGGAGGGCCTTTAGCAGTTCAGAGCATTATATGATCATTACAGTATCAGGTAGTACCACATGACCCATTGCCCCTCAGTGATGACAGTAGTAACTTGTGAATGACAATAGGAACTCATCACTATAATAGTGATTAATTGTGGAACCACTGTAGATATGTGTATGTGTGTATACACATATATACATATACATACACACATGGATGCATGTATGTATAAATCTCCAGTATAACTAGTCCCTTGTGGCCTTTCCTGATGAGGGGGTAGGAGGGGCTTAGTCTGAGCACCCTTCCTCTGGTCTCGCTGATGGTGCTCACTCTCCTTGGCCACATGCCCCTTGGCTGGGCCTTCATGTCTCAGGAGGCAGGGAGTTGGGCCTGCATGTCACGTCTCTCCCCCAAAGGTGGCCGCTACATTGAGGTCTTCAGGGAGAAGGGGAGCCGCGTGGCCCCAAAGCACCGGAAGGACAACAAGAAGGTGTGGCAGGGCCGGGAGCTCAAGGAAGGCGAGGAGGAGGAGGACCTGGCCGACTCCGGGAGGCTCTTTGTGAGAAATCTGCCATACACCAGCACCGAGGAGGACCTCGAGAAGATGTTTGCCAAATACGGTAAGAGGTCAAGTTTGCTGCACACACTTGTTTATCACGACGGATCCTTGAGGACTTCAGAAGGTCAGGTCGGTGCCAGGACTTGTCACCAGAGGCCCAGAGTTAGCTTCTGACTCTGTTAGTTGTTAACTGTGTTACCTTGGGCAAGTCATTTGCCTTTTCAGCTCCTCAGTTTCCACATCTATAAATTGAGGGAAAAGCATATTTTCGAGTGAGAAGTGTACTTCATAAAACCTGAGTCGTTGGGAGGGATCATACTGTTCTTTTCAAGGCCTCAGTTTGTCCATCTGTAAGATGGATTCATTTGCACAGCCTTTCTGCCTCGCGATAGTTGGAGAACAAGGCTTTTATACTCCTTTGGGATGCAGAGCTCGTCCGTGCTTCTGGTTCCTGTGGAGTGGGAGGAAGGCTGGAGTGCAGGTGAGGCTGGGAGCTTCCTTCCCACACCTGGCAGCCTTTTTTTCCCCGTGGTTCACTTGGAGATCCAGGACCAGTGAGGCCACTCACCAGAGCCAGGTGCAGTAAGAGGCATCCTGACAGTATGGGAAGAAGGCCGCAGAATGGGAGGCCGGAAGCCTGGGCTTCCCAGGCTCACAGGATCCTCCTTCGAGAGCTAGAAAGGCCTTCAGAGCCACGCCCTGTGTTTTCCAGATGAGGAAGTAGAGGGTGGGGGCTGGGGAGTCAGTGGGAGACCACCTGCCCACGGTCACCCAGGGGGCGAGCATCAAGCTAAGATTAGAACCCAGGGAATCTTGACTCCCAAACACCCTTTCCCTTAGACCAGACCTCTCCTGCTTCACCCTCTGTGGGCCTTGGGACAGGCCACCTTCCCTTTCCTGCTCTGATTTCCTCGTTTGTGAAATGGGGGCATTGGGCCAGCCCTCCAGGGTGTGCAGGCTGGAATGCATTTCTGACGTTTAAGTGTGTGGGGAGCCCGGTTGCATCCAGTCTGTTCCACTCAGGGTCATTGTTTTTGAATTCCACATAGGAGTCCTAGTATGGAGTGTCTAAAGAAGCGAGTCCATCAGTCAGCAAGCACTTCAAAGCCGCCAGACACTGGGCTAAGGGCTGGGTTGTACGAAAAAGGCAGAGGAGCATCCCTGCCTTCAGGGAGCTCACAGTCTAACTCTGTGCAAATAAGCTGTAGACAGGAGAAATTGGAAATAAGCAACAGAGGTAAAGCGTTGAGAGGGGTGGGATTTTAGCTGGGACTCGAAATTTCTAAGCAAGGGAAGCCAGGAGGCAGAGAGGATGAGGGAGGGCATTCCCGGCATGAGGCATAACCCGTGCAAATGCCCAGAGTCTGGAAGTGAAGGGTCTTGTGCAGACAACAGCAGGAAGGTGAAGTCCTTGAGTTCATGCCACATGAGGAACAGTGGAAGAAACTAGGAGTTTGATTCTGAACACGAGAAGATCTAGGTGGGGGGACGTGCCGCGTCCTCAGATGTTTGAAGGCTTTGAAGAAGGGTTTGGTTTGTCCTGCCTCGCCCTCCCTGGAGGTCAAGATGAGGGACGAATTGTAGGGGAGCAAGTGTAGGCTTTATAGAAGGGGACTCTTCCCCCTGGTGATGACTGTCCCAGAGTGCAGCGGGGCTGCTCGGGGCAGAGGAGGCCTCCCCCTGACTGGACGGGAGCCTGGGGAGGGGACTCCTAGTGAGACTTGGGGTGGGCTCTCTCATCCTGAGGTTGGAAGCGCCAACCCGGGCCAGTAAAGGGTCGTGCCACCCCAGAGCTGGTGGAGGCTCCATAACAGGCCATTGAGATGAACTCAGAACAGATAGTAGGACTCACAGTGCTTTCCAGCAGTCCTGTGTATTATGTATGGCAAGTACTATTACCCCATTTTATAGATGAGGAAGCTGAGACTCAGATTATTGCACAGTCAACAATGTTGGAGGCAGGATTCGTACTCAGGTCTCCAGACTCCCAAGTCTATCAGTGTTTTTATGGAGCTCTGCCGATATTGGGGTGTTCTTCATTAACCATAGAAGTTAATGTTGTGGAAGGTGATAACTGTGACCTCCCATGGCCTGCCCCGTGGTTTGAAAGGAGTAGCATGCCAGATGTGGTCAGACATTCTGTTGGGCTAGGTAAACTGAGGCAGAGCCGGCATCATATTTCCAATGTTCTTGTAAGTCAGCACACACCCTCGTTAGGGGCCTCGCCCTCAGCTATCTCCTGTGAGCACGATAGGGTGACTGCTCACCAGGACCTTATGGTTTTTCTTTTCCAGGTCCCCTGTCTGAAGTCCATTATCCCATAGATGGTCTGACCAAGAAACCAAAGGGCTTTGCTTTCATCACGTACATGTTTCCCGAGCACGCAGTGAAGGCCTACGCAGAAGTGGACGGACAGGTCTTCCAGGTGAGCCTGCCTATCTGGGCAGTGACCTCTGTGGGCACCCGGTAGGTGGCCCTCACTCCATCCACAGAGAGCCAGGCCCACGCCCTCGGGGCATCTGCGGCTGCTTCCTCTCACCTCCCACACTCAGTCAGGTGCCAGGTGTTGTCCCTTTGACCTCAGCAGCACCAGTCCTCCCCCTCAGCTCTTCTCCACTCTCATCAGGCACTGACCAGCTCTTCCCTGACTTCCAGTGTGGTCTCCCTGCCTCCAGCCTTTCCCCTCCTCTAAAACGCAGGCCTGACTGCCACCTCTCCAGCTTGGGAATCTTCCATGGCTCCCTGTTGCCTCTGGGATAGAATGCAGAGTTCTTGCCTTGCCATGGAAAGCCCTCCACAATCGACTTCCTGCTTTTCTGGCCTCATTTCCTACTGCTGCCCTTCACTCTTCTCTGCTGCTGTCACACTGGGCACGCTGTTCTCCATGTGTGACATCCCATCTCCTTCCTCCATGCAGATGCCACCGCCGCCCCCCCCCAGTGTCTGAACTTCATGCCTTGCAATTCCATAGCTTCCCTCAAAGCACCGCTCACGTGCCTACACCCTCCTCCACCAGGCCTTTTCCTGATCTTGTCCTCCTCAGGTGAACACTGCCCCCCCCACCTGTCACCTGAGAGGCCTCTCTACCTGACTTCTGCATCTACACATTTTATAAGGGGTTCTCAGACGATACTGGGGATCCCCCAGGCCCTTTCAGCGTCAAAACTACTTTGATAATAATACTTTAAACGTTTTTATTTCTAATATGGTAAATACCAGTAGCTATAATCTACATAAATAAAAATTGTCAGGGGTCTTTAGTCCTTTTCAAGAGAGTGAAGGGGTCCAGACACCCCCCCCCAGTTAAAGAACCACTGCTCTAGTAGAAAGCAGGTAGCACAGAGGGCAGCAACATGGCTCATTTGGGTCCTGCTGTCCTCACACGTAGCTCAGTGCCCTGCCAAAGTAGTCATTTAAAAAAAATGTGTGTGCTTGGTTAGATTAAATTGAATTGAAGCTGGTGTTAAGCTCTTGAAATGAATCTAGCGATCTTCCGTGTAGAGGCAGCTTGGGGTGATGGAGGGAGGGGTGGACTTGCATTCAAACCCTCCCACTGCCAAGTGTGGTCAGTGGCAGAACTGTGGGAAAGGCGCTGTCCTTCCTGGAGTCTGTAAGATGGGGGTGGAGCGAAGCTGCCTGTGAATGGGCCCACCTGCCTCACCCGGTTGTTGTGAAGCTGGACAGAAGTCATTTCTCAAGGGCTTTGCAAATGTGGAAGGGCCATGTAAATAAATGTCAGTGGCCACTGTCAGGATTGACTGGACAGTCAGCCCGTGAAGTAAGGCAGTGCCCTGGAAAGGCTCCTGGCTTCCACCGGGGTAAGAGGCTGAGGTGCTGGGAGCTCAGGGCTCTTGTCAAGAGGCTTCTCTTCCCCCATTAGGGCCGGATGCTCCACGTGTTACCCTCCACCATTAAGAAGGAGACCAGCAAAAGCTCAGATGCAACATCATCTTCCTACAAGAAGAAGAAGGCATTGAAGGACAAAGCCAGCAGTTCCAGGTCCTTGTCTTTACTCTCTGGGTGCCTTGCGAGGGTGTGACAGTGAGGCCTCATGGCACAGAGTGCTAGGATTAGAGCCCGGCAGACCCGGGTTCAGATCCTGCCCCAGCATGGACGTGCTCCTCTACCGTGGACAAGCCAGTGACCTCTGAGCCTCCCTCTCATGGGTCAGATGGGAATAATACCAGCGGCTGGAGCTCTCTCCAGGGTTGTTGTGAAGCCCAGATAAGAGAACGCACATGCTTTGCCCACCTTAAAGAATGTCAGCCGTGAGTGAGAGGGTGTGTGTGGGCATGTGGGCATGCACCCTTGGCCCCAGATGAAGCGTCACAGAGAGAAGGGTTCAGGAATTGTGAGTGCTGGTCTCGAGTTCAAATCCACCCTCAGAAACTTTCTAGCTGCATGACCCCAACAAAGTAACTTAACACACACACCCCCATCCCACCCCCAGGCTCAGTTTCCTGTCTGTCATTTAGGAATAATTGTAGGACCAGTCGTGAGGAGAAAATGAGGTAATACATGTAAAAGCCCTGTTCAGGCCTTCGGGCCTGGTCTACATGTTTGTTGTTATTGTTTCCTGCAGTTGGATTACCCAGATTTGAATCCCAGCTGTTCCTTAGTATCTGTGTGACTTTAGGCAAGAACCTGCCTCTCTGGGCCTTGGTTTCTTCATTTGGAACACGAGGGCATCGGACCAGCTGAGCTCCAAGCTTCCTTCCGGCCTTAGATCTGTGAACCTATGATCCATCCTGGCAGGGAGGGAACAGTTAGACATTTTCAAGCTGAACACCAAGCCCAGTGCCTGTTCTGCAGCTGTCAGGCTAAGAATTTAGAGAAAGGCAGTCAGGCACTCAGGGCAGGCAGGATGAGAAAGTGTTAGGACCCTGAAGTGGTGGCCACACTGGGAACGTTCTAGCCCCGTCCTGTAGCAGGCCTGAATTCACCCCATCTGTCCGGTGTCCCGGGGAAGTGCAGTGTCGGACATTTACACTGCCCCTGAGCAAGCTCACAGGCTCCCTGAACCTCAGTTCCCTCTTCTGTAAAATGAGGGCCTCGAGGGTCCCTTCCACCTCTAGAAATCTGATATTAATACCTGTGTGTGACTCTGTCCTTTAACAGTGAGTTATACATCCCCATCCCGACCCCTCCCTAAACTTCGCATTGCAGAATTGAGACTATGGAGTCAGCCCTCTGCTGTCCTTGGTGAAGGGTCAAAACACAGCTTTGGACAATGCCATGCAGCCTGAATTCTCATCTGGGCCGGATGTTGCCGTGTGTTATAATGTGGTCGTTCTTTGTGATATTGTCTGCCTCAGGGTGGTGATGCTGAAAGTAGGTGGCTGGGGGAGGCCCAGGAGGATACTGAGTAGTAGAGGAAAGCCAGCCTGGTGTATTAAAACCATGCCAGAGAAACTACCAAGTGAACAAACCACTGAGAGGGGAGATTTAGCTAAATGTGATGGGAAATGCCCAAAGCATTTGGCTCATTGGCAGTTCTGATCAAAGACCTTAAAATCCGAGCACAGATAGGGTTTAAAACAAGATTTGCAGGTTGTCCCTTCACTGCCCCCCCCCGTCCCTCTGTTCTCTGTATCTTCATCACCTCATCAGCCTGTAGCTGTGGCCATGGTGTTCCTTTGCAGACTTTGGTGTTTACATCCTAGGGTCATAAATCCAGAGCCATCCGGGGACCTCAGAGCTCATCTGGTGCAGCCACATCATTTTGTTGATAAAGAAATTTGTCACATGGTTAATAAGTGGCAGAGCCAGGCTGCAAACATTGGTCCTGGGATGCCCACGTTCAACCCTTTCTCCTCTGTATCACTTGGCATCCCTGGGTTTCAGTCCTCTCATCTGTAAAATGAAAAGTTTCAGATAGATGGCATCTGAGATCCTTGCCCTCTGATTCTATGGCTTCTGCAAGGAGTGGAGGGTGTGGAACTGATCAGATCCAGCTTGTGCTTTGATCATGAAGAGGAACTCCCAGTGTGGAAACTCCCTGTACCAGTGAAGATTAGCAACTCCCCTCTAATTTGTAGTCTTAGAGAGTAGCTTGAAGGTACTAAAAGGATCATAAGATCCCAGACCCAGGGCTGGAAAGCATCTCAGATGCTCAGATCACTTTATGGATGAGGAAACTGAGCTGCTGGGAACTTTAGGTGATGTAGGATCATATATTTAGAACTGAAAGGGACATTCAAGTTTTCTTGAGTCCAACATCCTTGTTTTACATGTGAGGAAACTGAGGCGGAGAGGGTTAACATAGCTAGTAATTATCTGAGGTAGGATTCGAACTCTCACTGCCCTCACACAGGTAGTAAGCAGCGGAGGTGGGATTTAAACCCAACTCTGGTGGTTCTAGAGTTAGTGCTCTATCTATTGTCCTAGGGACTTGGAAGTTAAGTGACTTTTCCTTGGTTAATCAATTCGTTTTTTCAAAGGCAGACCTTGAACTCAAGTTTTCCTGACTCCTAATTCAGCCACCTATCCATTATTCCATATTCCCTCTTCTCTTGACTCTGAGTTAATTCAGATAAACATCAGCTATAGACATTGGCTTCACCTGGACTCTAGGCCAACTAAGGAGAATCTAGATTGTGTCTATGAGTGACAGATTTTAAAGAAAAATCATGATTCTTGAAACGAACTGAAACGCTACTCACAGCATGCTGCAGAAAGTATTGCTAGCGTTCCTGGTGAGTGGTCCCCCCCTCATTTGGTCCTCACAGTTTCCTTGCCTAAAAAGGAGATTTCTTCGTGTGGAAAGCAGTGCTTGTATTCCGCTGGTAGTTTTGTGATCTTAAACACAATCCAGATAATGCAGGATTTCCTTCTCACCTTTATCTCCTCAGCTCTCACAATTGGAATACACTGTTTATGGGGACAAATGCCGTGGCTGAAGCTGTCGCACAGAAGTACAATGCCACGAAAAGTCAAGTATTTGACCATGTGAGTGAGAATCCTGCCAGTGGAGCACCAACCCTGTAGCCAGAGCCCCGGGGCCATGAGCAAATTCTGGGGAAAGGAATTAGCATAAGGCCATCCTGGGGCTTGGATACTAGTCGAGATTGAAATACAGAGTTCTGCAGTGGTCCTTTGAACAGATTGCCCCGACTTAGTCTCTTTGTTTATTAGGCCCCTAAACTACACTCTCCAGGGACCTGGGATCCTCAGATCATTGCCCTCCTCATTTGCCATCCTTGATAAGTTGAAGGCCCTGCTTAGCTAAAGCCCTCCTTGCTCTTCATAAAGATGGAAAAAAGACAGAAATTTATTTCTTTTGGCCGAGTTCTAGCCAATCAACCAAGAAGCACTTATTAATCACCTTCTGTCTGCCAGTTACCATTTAGAAGGTAGAAGAGGGCCCAGTTAAAGGGTACTGCCTGCTTTTCGGTGGCAGAAATAATAACCAGCCACATTTTTCTAGCGCTTTAAAATTTCCTCATGAGAGCCCTGGGCAAATGTTACCATCTCCACTTTACAGAGGAGAAAATGATAAGCCCCTCGAGGGCAGGAGCTGTTTCTTTATTGCCTGTCGTATCTCCAGCATGCCTTGCACACATTAGGCCCTTGGGAGATGCTCACTGAATTGAGCTGAAGCTCGGAGAGGTGAGTGACCTGCCCCTAGTCATGCAGCTAGTAAGGACGAAGAGGAGAGATTCAGATCTCACATCCAGCATTCTCTCCACTGCATCATGACTTAAGTAATTAACGTTAATTGAGCCCCTGCTATGTGCCAGGCACTGTGCTAAGTGCTGGGGATACAAAAAGAGGCAAAAGACAGGCGCTGCCCTCAAGGGACTTACAGTCTAATGGAGGGATTGTGCTAACTCATTGTGGGCATGGAGGCTGTGCCCCAGATTTGGGGTGAAGGGAATCACCTCCCATCAGCTAGGGCTTTTCTAACATTCAGAATTCTGTCCTAGCTCTCTGGTGGTCATTCAGCTATGTTCTCTGCTGCCCTCAGGGTATCATGGGATCAGAGACTTGGACAGTCAGGGCTGGAAGAAAGCTTCGGGGTCATGGTGTTCATTTTAGATACACTTTAATATTTTTAAAAAATAGCTTTTTGTGTACCTCACATCGTATCTGCTGAGCCATTTCTTATAACAAGGACTTTGAGAGAGAGAGAGAGAGGAGAGAAACAGAGAAAGAGAGAAAGCGAAAGAGGGAGGGAGAGAGGGAGGAGAGGAAAAAAGAGAGAGAGAGACAGGGAGAGGGGAGAGAGAGACAGAGAGAGAAACAGAGACAGAGAGAGAAGGAAAAGCAGTTCAACTGTTGAGCATGTCTGACAGTAGAGACAATATTCCACATCCATAGTCCCCCACCTCTGCACTGAGATGACGTAGCTCTTCTCTGGGGTCACACTTGGTCAGGATCATTATACAACTCAACCCCCTCATTTTATAGGTGAGAAAACTGCAGCCCAGAAAAGTTAGTGGTTTTGCCAAGGTCACACAGGAGTGGCAGAGCCAAGATTTGAACCCAGGTCCTCTGACTCAAATCCATTGATTTCTCCACTAAACCAACTGAGGTTTTTGCCAGGCCTTGTTTTAAGAATGGAGGTTTGTGATCCCTGCTTTATAACCATGAATCCTGTCACCCCCTCTCCATAGGAGATCAAAGGCAGCGTAGCTGTGCGGGTGGCCCTGGGGGAGACTGAGCTGGTCCAGGAGGTGCGTCGGTTTCTGATTGAGAATGGCGTGAGCCTGGATTCCTTCAGCCAGGTAAGCTAGGCCCTAGAGCGGTGGTGACCAACCTGGAACCAGGGGGCCATATCACCCGACGTAAGAGTCCCTGTCATCCACATGCCGACTTAGAAGAATACATATTAGTGTTGTCTGTGTTTGTTGTGTTCTTTTCTGTTTTGTTAAATATTCTCCAATTACACTTTAATCTGGTTCAGGCCACACTCAGGGGTGTTGTAGGGCACGCCTTTGGCACCTCCGCTTTAGGGTACCTCATTTGGTGGTTAGAATTGGAGGATTAAGGGAATTGCTGTGATTGATGTGAGGATCTGACAAGATTTTGACAAGAAATTTGTCTAAAAATTATCTTAAGATCACAAGATATGCCCTATTTGCATCGGACCGGAGCCCAGCTAGACGGGCACCAGGCCCCAGTGCATGCCGAGTCTCAGCAGCACCACCTCAGAGGCCGTGGAGACCCAGGAAGCATTCATTCTGCCGTAAGATGGCACTGGGTTTTCTGGCCCTCCTGTCACCCCGTTGACTCGTGTTGAGCTTGTTACCCACTGAAACCCTCAGATCTTTTTCAGAACCGTGGCTTTCTCTCCGTGCCGCCACCGTCTGATGTTCTGTCAGTTGCTTCTGTTGGGTGGTGTGTAGTCTGGGCTAACTGTTTCTCCTTTCTTTGACCTCCACCCAGATACTCCCCATCACATCTCTCCCCTTTGTTGCTTAATTGTTCACTATTTTTCCATTGGTACACCTTCTTAATATATGATGCTACCGACTCTTACCTTTTACTTGGCCTGTTTCTTCTGAATAAAACCTATGTCTCCAGAGCCGTAATTGTGGCTTTTATCCCCACACGTTTCAGTGATATTTAGGGGATCAAACTGACCCTTTTCTGTTAGACCTCCACAGTTTCCACCTGAACTTTGGGCATTTACAAACGGATACTTACAAGAGGCTGTGGATTTCACTGCATGGATTTTGTGGGTGTCTGAGTTGTTTTTCTTCCATCTTTGGGGCTACTCTCTGCTCTCTATATTATCTAACTTGAAAAATATAAAAAAAAAATCTTCTTCCTCCCCCATCCTTTCTGGTTCAAAGCTCTTTCATTTTGATTTACAAGACACCCAACAAACACGTTCCCACCAGCTTTTGTTAGGGGTATGTTATCTCTGGCCTGGAAATCGTCAACCCTGCATTGTGAGCTGCAATCCAGAAATTCATATCCCAGACACCACCTTCTTGGCCAGCTGTTCACTCCCCAAATTAATTTTTCTCTCTCAAATTCTTTGCCTTCATTAGACTAAGGAGAGGAAAACACAGTCTGTGCCTTATCATCTTCAGTTTCTTGCCCAAGACTTCATAATCATTGGCGATTGTTTTCTGGTTCCTATTGGAAGTGTCCTTCATGCCCACTCGAATCACCAGAAGTGGGGAATTATCATCCATTTTGATAAATCTTGGGAGGTTTTCTGTTATGCCTTAGATACATGCCCCCTTGGGTATCTGCCCCATGATGATGACAGAACTTTTCAGATCAGGTCACAGAGGAGCAGAACCACCAGCTTCTACCATGCTTCTCTTCTTCCTCTGGCCCCTTTTGGGTAATCTCTCTTCTGACAGTTTCAGTGGCTCATCTGTATCATTCTCGGGGAGAGAAGCAGCCTCTTCTTCTTCCTTCCCAGCCTCCAACTCCCTCCTCTTCAGGAAGAGCCTCATGCCTCTTTGTACGCCCACCTTGTACCAGTGCCCTCCCCCATCCCTTTCTTCTCTGTGAACCACACTTTTAGTCTCTAATATTCTGAAAAGGGTCAAGTCTTTGTTCTTCCACATCAGAAACCCACCCCCCCTTTTTTCACCTCTCCAAAGCCTTCTGTTTTCTACAGGATCCTTCATCTTCCTTAACACCTGAATGTGGGGAGGAGGTCTTCAGGTCCCTCCAGCTTCTCCTCAAGGAGGGCGTCCGGCCTCCATTTGGAACCCTGATGTCAATAGCCTGATTATGACTGAAATATAATCACTGCATGCCATTTCAACCATAAAGATTGAAGAGAATGTCAGAGCTGGGAGTGTTCTTAGAACAGTTCTCTGTCATCCACACTGGAAGGGGTCTTAGAATAGAGAATGTCCAAGCTTGGAGGGTCCTTAGAACAGAGAATGTCAGGGCCGGAAGAGACATTAGAACATGGATTGTCAGAGTCGGAGGAGCCTTAGGACAGGGAATGTTAGGGCTGGGAGGGTTCTTAGAACAGAGGATATCAGGGCTGGGAGGGAAGGAGTGGCTTTAGATGGCTTACTCTCTACATTTTTGCAGATGTGGAAGTAGAGGCCCAGTGAAGGGCCATGTCTTGTCCGGTTGCTCAGCCAGTGCCTGCGTGGCAGGGTAGGGAGGAACAGCCTCCTTCCCTCATCCCTGGGCTCTTTCCACCGGCTGCTTCTCATCAGTCCTGCTCTGAAGTCCCCCATGCATCAGCACTCTTCCCTTTCTAACTTTTTTTTTATCAGAATCTATAGAACAGCATAGAGTACCTAGCAGAGCCCTTCTTGAACAGCCTCCAAGTGGACTAAGTTTCTTAATCTGAGAGACTTGTCGAGGGTCCACTGGGGTTTGGACTCCGAGAGTGGTTCTAGGGTGAGGCTGCGAGAGCCCTCATTTCTTATCCTAGCACGTAGGAAGCCTTACCCTTTTCTTTCCTTCATTCCTTCTCCCTCTGTCTGCCTTTCTTCCTGCAGGCTGCCGGGGAGAGGAGCAAGTCTGTGATTCTAGTGAAGAACCTCCCTGCAGGGACACGGGCCTCTGAACTGCAGGAGATTTTCAGCCGCCACGGCAGCCTGGGCCGCGTACTACTGCCCGAGGGAGGCGTCACGGCCATCGTGGAATACCTGGAGCCTCTGGAAGCCAGGAGAGGCTTCACCAGCCTGGCCTATTCCAAGGTACGCGCCTCACCTGGGAGTCTGGAACCATGAGCCGCCTTCTGCGTATGAAGGAGCTCAGTGCACCAGGGCTGGACCTCAGTTCAGATCCTCCCTGGGGCTCTTACTGCCTGAGTGACCTTGGGTGCTTCCCCTCTCTGGGCCTCCGTGTCCTCATGTAAGGAAGGGGTTTGACTAAACAGTCTCTGAAGGCCCTTCTAGCTCACATTAATATGGTGCTTTAAGGTTGGTGAAGCACAGCTCCTTGGATCTTCCCAGGAACCCACTGCTAATACCCCCATTTGACAGATGGGGAAGCTGAGACTCAGAGAGGAGGAGTAATTTGCCCAGGATCACAGAGCTAGTGGATGTTGGAGGAAGGATTGGAACCTGTGTCTGTCTTATTGCTAAGTCCATCAGTCTGTCCTGTGTACGACACTGTGCACCTCTGTGGTGCAGTGTGCATAACAGTGTATGTGTCATGCACATACCACGCAGAGTAGTCACCTTCCCCTGAACTGCTTCATAAGAGTTCAGAGCCTTCTCTGATGCCTTTCACAGGTGTCATTGTAACTACTAATGGCAGGCATCTCTCAGAAGAGATGGGTGAGTCTCTCAGTAGGACAGATCTTGAAAGAGAAGCTTTTCCCGTCTGCTGTCCCCCTGCGGGTGCAAGGCTACTCGAATAATGCCTCAGCACAACACCTGGCACATAGTAGGGGCTCAGCATTTGGTGACTGATTGATTGCCCTGTTCTGTGTCTCTGGGAGACACTTCCCAGTGTCTGTCTGTCCATCCTTACAGTTCCATGATGTTCCCTTGTATCTGGAATGGGCACCAATGGGGGTCTTCTCTGGCCGCCTTCCTCAGCAGAAAGAACAAGATGAGAAACCTGGAGGAAAAGAGGCAGCTCAGACTGAAGCTGGTAAGAGTGGGAGCCTGAGGTCAGGGCATCAGGCTGGGGCGGAGAGTTCCTCGGGGGTCTCCCTGAGATTGGGCTTCGGCGTAAAGGTCTCTGTGTTCCTTGTTCAGATCTGGCTTCTCTCTGCTCTTCGGGCAAGAAGAGAGAAAGCCATCCAGACAAGGTTTAGGGATTCCTCCCCATCCTCCCCTGGCCCTGTGATCTCCTCCACACACGTTCCCTCTAAGGAGGAGGAGGAGGCAGATCCCAGCCTGCACATGCCCGCCCATCCCGTGGGACTCCGGTCCCTGCACTTCCTGGGCTCTCCCCAGGATTTCCTCCCAGTGTACTGGTCGAGTCCTCTCTTGCTTTCTCCTGCCTCCCAGAGCTGCCTGTCAGTCACTTATTCCTCCCTCTCACCTCATGAGCGGCCATCTTCTTTCCCACTGCTCTTGGCTGACATCATTCATTCTCCTCCCCATTCCCTGCTTGTCAGGTGTTGCAGCCACCTGTCAGTACAGGGGCTTCATTTAGTATATCTCAGCATTCAGCCCATCCGCTCATGGCTACGGCATAGAATTCCTTGTTTTCCAGGATCCCCCAGCCCTTCCCGATGCGCTCGCTGCCAGCCCTCCTTTCATCCCATCTTTGCCTGGCTTTGTCAGTTGCTTTAGGCCAGAACCTTGATCCCCTGCTGGCCAGTTTTCTGGCTCCGAGTGTCTCAGCCCTTCGAGGGGCTGGTTTTCGGAGGAGAGAAATAGAGCCCATTTCTGGGCCCGTCGGAGTTTGCTTAGATCCTTCAGGAGCTCCAGCACCCTCCTGAAATGGGGAGGTCTTGGGGGGAAGCCCTGGCCAACCCCCAGGGTTCTGCCAGCTGAGCACGAGGGGGCGCAGGTCCTCCTGAGCACCAAGGGCTTTGAGTGCCAACTCAGCATTGCCTGCCAGAGCATCCTAGAGAGCCATTGAACAGGTAAGGAAACTGAGGTCCAGAATGGAGAGAGAGCCTTGATTCAAATCCAAGCTCTCCTCCGGATCAGATCCTGCCTCTTCCCTTACCTCTGCTCCTCTGTTTCTCCATCTACACAGTGGGGAGAGGAGGAAATCCCAGCAGCTGCTCTCAAACACAGTGGAGGACCCCCTGTAAGCCTCAGAGCATTATGGAAATACCAGCTTTTGTTATATGGTCCCTTAGATGGCTCCCAAGCTCTTTGTGTTGAAATCTGTTTTTTTTCTGTGGAAGTCAAAGATAAGAATTTCTGTCCTTCCTTTTCTCCTTTACAAAATGTAAGTACCCAAAGGTGACTTGATTTCCCCTAGATTGCTCCAGTAAGATTTTTCAGGGGTTCTGCCCCCAGGCTGGTGGTCTGCCTGAGTTCCACTGCCTCTTAATAGGATCTCATGTTTTAGATCACCGTTCTTTGATTTTGTTTTTGGAAAGAAGGTGATAACAAAGGCCTGGCTTAGTGTTAGGATTATTCAAAGGCACTCTACCAAGTTCCTGCTGTCTTTAAGGGGCTGGATTTCTCTCCCAGGACAGCCACAGACTTGAATACTATCTGTTCCCATCAGGTGTTGGTCCCCAGATTCCTTCCTGTGTGAACGAGGGCGCTCTGGTATCCTCCAAAAGCCTGGATCCAAAGCTCAGGCAATTTGCTCTAGCTGCCTGCTTTCCTTACTCTGGCTGTCAGTGGCTGGACCAGAGCCCTCTTGGAAATCCAATTTGGACTGAGTTCACCCTGCCCAGGGGAGGAATGCTTGTTGACATAAAGGCTTTTCAAACACACTCGAAGTCTAGGTGTTAAATCAGGCAATAGCATTTCACTGGGATCAGAGCGACCATGATACCAACCCTCAGTTTGGGAGGCTAAATTAAATGACCTCGCAGATTCTTTCTTCAATTACTTCAGGGTGTTGAAGGCAACCAGAATTACTTTCTTCAGTCTAACTATCTTTTTGGTGTTACTAACCCAAGTAGGTTAAGTCTCAATGACCTAGAATAGTCCTAATCTGAGCTAGAAGGCAAAGTGACCCCAGGATAGGCCTAGGATATGAGTGGTAATACCTTAAGTATTAAACTTCTGTCTGTAGAGTTTTATGAATGTTTTGTGGCTTAATAGATAAGAGGGCTGACCTCAAAACTAGTAAAACCTGGGTTCAAATCCTGCCTCTGATACATAATGATTCTGTGACCATGGACAAATCACCTAAACATTCAGTGCCCTGGGCAGCTCACTCAAACTGTTCAGTGGCTGAGGAGGTGCCAACCTGCAATGATTGTAGAGAGCATTTGCAGTGAAGTAAAACAGGTCCAGGCCCTCCCCCTAACCTATCTGAATGTAAGGCTACAGGATGCTGGCCTTGGAGTTAGGTTAGATTTGGCAGTGCTCGAGAGCTCTGAATTTGGAGTCCAAAGACCTGAACTCAGATACCAAACTCTGTCACTTACTTACCTTTTGACCTTGGGACAAGTCATCTAACCTCTTTCTGTTTCCTTTTCTATAAAATGAAAGGGCTGATCTCTGTCCTTGGTAATCCCGTCCACCTCCAGGGTTCTGATTCGGTGATCCCACTCTGAAACTAAATGACCCAGAGCAAGTCACTGAACCTCCAGTCCCCTAAGGCATTGACAGCCCACAGCTTACTTAGGTTTAGGGAGTACTCCATGTCAGTGAAACCACAGATACTTCTAGAAACTGTAAGCCCAAGGTATGCTAGGCAGTGAGTGGTGTAGTCAAAAGAGTACTCATTTTTGCATCCAGGTTCTGGGTTCAAATCCTAACTCTGTCACCTCAGGCAAATCAACTTTCTTTAGGTCTCAGTTTCCTCAAAAAGAAGCAGTTGGATTAGATGACCTCTAAGCTCATTTCCAGCTCTAAATTCAGGATCCTAAGACTAAAAAAAAAAAACCTGCCCTCGAAGGACTTACACACTACAAGAAAGAACAAGCCTACACAGGGGTTGAAAGCAGGCTTGGCCCATGATACCTGAGAGTCTGTAAGAATGTGTGAGAGGACGTTTGATTCTGTCCTTCTATGAGGGGTTATCAAAGTCAGAGCCAGCTGGCCCTAGAATATAGGATAAGCATAGGATAGGCTTAGACAGAGAACATAGAACCCTGCCAGGATAGAAGGTAGAACTCAGGACTTAGAGGGTCCAGTGAAGAATTCAGATGAGGTCCCCACCCCTGCTAATGCAGCAGTAACGACAAATCAGAGTTGAAAAGACAGAAGGAAAGACAGGACTGATACATCCCTCATCCTAGCTGTGAGTGTGTGTGTGTGTGTGTGTGTGTGTGTGTGTGTGTGTGTGTGTGTGTGTGTTCCATTCCCACAAGGGAATGGAATGTGTTTTTTCCACTCCCTAAGTCTCATTGAGGGGCTGAGTGCGAGCGGAGCAGCAGTTATTTGAACAATGGAATGGAAGGCAGCAGGGATTGGAGGGTGGGGGGGGTGTGAGACCAGCTGATCTTGTGGATTGCGGGTCACAGAGCGGTGTGTGTCTGTGTTAATTTCAAGGCCCAGTGCGTCCCTTGTGCGGGTGAATTCCCACAGCTCAGATCTCAAGGACATGGCCTTTCTTATATATATATATATAAAAGTCTTCTCCCCCTCGGCCCCTCCACTTACTGCCATCCTCCCCTACCCTGGGGCTTTTTATTATCTCCTCTGGCCAACGAAGGTCCTGACATGCCAATTTCACAAGGAAGGGCGAAGGCCAAGGAAGTTTTGTCTCCATCCCCACGGCCAGATTTTCCCAGAAGCCAAAAGGAGTGTATTTTGCTGGTGGGTGGTGGGCGTATACAGGATTTTTTAAAATTATTTTTTTTTCCTCCCCTGAAAAGCTCTGCTGTTCTGTGCATCAGTCCCAGGGGAGGGGGACTGCTTGTTTTATCTCCCCATAACCAAGACCCTCACCTCCAGATAAAGGGCTCAGAGTTGGGGGAGGTCGTGGAAAGCTGCTTGCAACTGATAACAGTCTTTTGTATCAGCCCTGGGCACAGAGTGCCGGGGAGGCGGCAGTAAATTCCTCAGTCTGATTACAATACCACCCCATGTGGCTGTGCGTGACCGCATTTCATTGTGCTAACTACAGATGGAGGCATATTTTCCAGGGTCTCCCAAGCCTCCCCCTCCCCTGCCTTACACACACACACACACACACACACACACACACACACACACACACACACACACACACACACCCTTTAAATCTTCCTCCTTCATGGTTTCTTCTTTCTGGTGCATGATGAATTTGCTGGCAAAATGTTTACTGAAAAATTATTTTTTTCCCTTCTATCTTTCCCAAGGTAAATGCCCCTCCCCCTACTTTGGCCAGGAGTAGGCAGCTTTGAAAACTGTCTTCTGGATTGTTCGGTCTCCATCATTCTCTAGTTCCAGGTGTTAGATAATTAGGTGGCATTCTGGGGCTCATCAGTAGATGAGACTTAGGACCATGGATCTACGGTCAGGGGAGACCTTAGAGGTCATCTGGTCTAAGCTTCTGCTTTTACAGGTAAGGAAAGGGAACTGCAGGGAAGTGCAGAGATTTGGCCAAGGTCTCCTACCTAGTAGGGGGTAAAGTTAGGATTCAAACCCAGGTCCTTTGATACCTCGTCCCACTGTCCCACACTGCCTCGGCATCTTTGTTGCATCTTTCCCTCCAAAATCTCTTTCTTTAGTCCCATTCCTTTCCATGGAAGGAGCCAGTCTTAGGAATGGCCGTCCAGGAAGGCTTCCTATTTCTGGTAAGTCGAGCCTTTGCTGCTCCCTTTGGCGAGTTCTGCTGGACATTTTAACAAAAGCAAGTCAGCACATCTCGGAGTTATGGAGCTGTTAGCCTCTTCCACATCATCTGGTCAGACATTCCCAGAGTTGGATGGGGCTTAGGAGATGGCCTGAGCAGATGTCTCTTCTCCAGCATCCCTGAAAGGTCTTCTGGCCTCCACTTGAAGACCCCGGTGTGGGGGAGCCTCCAGCTTCAGTTCCTCAGTGAAGTCGTTGTTTCAGCTTTGAGGGGGTGCCTTC